GTCTTCACGGTTCACAACCGGCCTCCGGAGAAGAGTGACGAAGGCTGAGCGGATCCAGATACGGAAGATGCACCAAGCGATTCAAGGTTGGCAAACTGTGGCGTACTTCAACCAGTTCAAGAGGGAGGCCAGTTTACTCTCAAGTGCTGTAGGCGACCACATGAGGGCAAGGACACGTTTCGAAGTACGAGAAGCGCTGATCAAGGCTGTTGTTGAGCTGCTAGTACCGACTACCTTCTTCGCCCTGGCTTACCTCATCCTCCAGCGCATTGCTGCGGGCACGGCATCCCCGGGAGACTTCGTCTTCTTTCTCACATACTGGGACTCGATCATCTACCCGCTGAAATTCTTGACCGATCATGTCCGGTGGCTGGTGCGTGACTTTGTGGACGCGGAACGAGTTCTTCACCTTCTGCAAACCCAGCCAACAGTCACCGACGCACCCGAAGCCTACCCGCTCGCGGTACAGGATGGCGAAGTCCGATTCGAAGACGTGTCCTTCAAGTACGACTCCAGCCGCTACGCACTTCGGGACGTATCGTTCACGGCGTCGCCGGGTCAGACCGTCGCTCTCGTAGGCCAAACCGGGGCCGGCAAATCGTCGATTCTAAAACTCCTTCTACGCCTACACGACGTCACATCCGGTAGCATTACCATCGCCAAGCAGAACATCCGACACGTCACATTGAGTTCACTTCGCGACGCCGTAAGCGTGGTTCCGCAGGCACCCACGTTCTTCAACACCTCAATCATGGAGAACGTGCGATACGCACGCGACACCGCGACCGACGAAGAGGTCTACGAAGCGTGTCGTGCAGCCGCAATTCACGACACAATCATGCGCTATCCCAAGGCCTACAACACGCACGTCGGCGAGCGCGGTGTCAAGCTGTCGGGTGGCGAGGCGCAAAGACTTGCGATTGCGAGGGCGCTCCTCAAGGACGCACCGATCGTTCTGCTAGATGAGGCGACGAGCGCGGTAGACACAGTCACAGAGAGGCATATCAAGACAGCACTTGAGAAGCTCAAAGAGGGAAGGATTGTAATTGTCATCGCGCATCGATTGAGTACAATTGTAGATGCGAGCTCCATTCTGGTCCTGCATGAGGGGAGTGTCGTAGAGAGGGGAACGCACGAAGAGTTGTGCAAGAAGAAAGGGCGGTATTACGAGCTGTGGGAACACTCATGAAGGTCTTCATATCGTGCCGTACCAATGAGATAACTGAGAAGGGTTTGTGAAGGTTTCGTGGGGTGTTGCGGAAGTATCGGAAGCATCGGAATGTCATATACGGCATAGCACCACCATGTACTGTAGAATAGCCTCAAGGTGAGCTTCAGGTAATTGCGACGGTCGCGATCGGGCGATGACCCAAGAACAAGGCGCAGCAGAAAGATCATCCGTTATAAGCCCGTCTCGTTCGTCTATCTCACCTTCAACAAGACGCGGAGCTGTTCGGCAGACGCGACGCGACGCGATTTAGAGCGCCGAGCATGTCCCTCAGGCTAATGCCGGTACAATTCCTCACAATTACCATAGACGTACTCGCCGTGTACACACATCGCATCGCGCATGTCGGTTCACCGCATCGCTCACCGGAATGCTGCTTCTCGAAGGTTTCGTTGAGTTCTAGTGCAGCGCAGGCGAAAGTATCGAACGCAAGGCGGTGTCGGAGCGCCCCTCCAATTCCCAACTTCATCGCGACCAAATGCGATGGCCAACATGCGCAACAATCGCATGACCGAGAAGATCACAATTTCGATGCTGCGGATCTGCCCCGCAATGTTTGATTTTGGGATCCCAATACCAAGGTCTAGGTCGTAAGCCGGTGCTGATGTCATCAGACCAGTACACCAAGACCGCGCTCGTGGGTGCACCGCCCATTCGATCGCAATACTCTACAGGTCGGGGTGAAGTGTCGGTACAAATCTCCCGCTTCATCAGAACCTTCTGCGATGTTGGATGGTGTGATGGTAAAGTTCAGGTGGTAATCCGGTGCTTACTAGCGGCCAACACGGTGTAGCCGGCATCAACCGCTGACATGGCATCGTGAAGATGGCACGACGACCATATAAGCCATGATGTCGCGCACGTCAATGTCGGTACAACTCACAGTTCCTTAGCTCCCATCACCACAGACCTGCAACGAACACCCAAAGCCTCAATCCACTCACTCAAACAACCAACTCCATTCACCATGCGTTTCGCTCTCTCTACGCTCGCCGCTGTTGGCACCCTCAGCAGCCTTGTCGCAGCTGACAACATCTACACCTACACCAAGCCCGGATGTTCCGGATGTGCCTTCTTCTTCAAGGACATCGACCACAACATCTGCGCCGTGTCCATCACAGCCAACGCGACTGATATTGCCGATGCGATCGCCAAGGGCGTGACCACGGTCCAGTCCGGCAAGCTCGAAGGTACGTCTACACATTCTCTGACCTCAAGCGAAAGCTTCATGGTACTAACGCACTACATGTAGTCCAAGAGTGTGGCGAGAAGCGCTTCATTGCCTGGGACGAGGGTCCCGAATCCAACGACGACGGCCTGCTCCAGTGCGGTAACATCGACCAGAAGCTTCGCATCACCGAGACCTCGACTTGTATCACTGGTGGTAACTTCCACGGTTTCAGCTGGACCGAGCCTGGTTCGGACGGCAGCGACTCCAACTCGAAGAGGCAGACTGACGACGCTGATGATGTTTGGAAGTGCACTGGTTCCACTGAGCCCTATGGCGTGTACCTTGGCGGAAAGCACTACCAGGTCAAGGACATTGATCAGGCGGACAAGGACGCGTTGATGGACATGGCCTGGAACGACAACACTGATGTTCCTTCTGACTTTGAGAAGTACGCCTTCACTCCTGGCATGTAAATGTGAAGTGGAGGCAGCGGGAAGGATCCGGGAAGCAAAGCGCTTCCTCGTTTAGTGAACGAGCAGTGGCAAGTCGGGCCACGGAGGCGGGAGGATAATTCCTGGGTGTTATTAGTAGTTGCAGGCCGCCGTCCCTAATACATCATATACCTCACCACCACATGCTACTTTGTGAGCCCTTCACGATTCTCTTTACCACGTCTCACCAACATCATAACCTTAGCAGGCAGCGGCTTGCGGCCGATATCATAGACAACTCTTCAGTCCCATGTAATAAGGGATTTACCAACTGGTACAACTGTGGATGCTCCAATTCGTCGAGACTGGATAGTTAGCCGCCGCTTGTACTTCGACCGCGATAGACTTCCAAGAGCGAGCGTTGATCTCGCGAGATACGATTGCTGTTCGATCGACCAGATTATCCCGGTCCTGCTAATGGAGCTGGTGTGCGGCGAGATCAAAGTGAGTCCGGAAGAGAAAAAAAGAAAGTGACCTTGCAGATTCTGCGCAATATTTGCCTGAACGCTACCAAAGCGTACAGGAGCGCCCATCACCAGGCGCCCATTAACCGACTACGAAATAGTCTGTGGTGTGTCTCGCAGGCAGGTGTAGAGTGCACGTCAACGCCGTACAGAACACGGCGGAGTTGCGACCGCATGCTTCCTGTCGTGTAGGGCTGCGCGTGCTTTTTACCGGTATCTGCGAGGACAGCGGCTCGCAGCGACGTGCGTCCGCCATGCATAGCTAGCTGCGATGTCTTGCATGCGCTGTCGTTTGTGGTGGTGTGGGTTGTCGTTCTTTGCGCGAGAGCGGGAAGGATCGCCCCATTCCACCTCTGCATTCGGCAAGACCGAAACGCAGTTCTCCGTTAGGCCACGTACTTCTTCTTATCACTTCATTACTCGACAATAGAGACGATACTTCCAGCCCGCTCTCAGAACTGACTCTCCTTGTGGCCAGACATTTACCACGTTGCTTCGACGATTGAGAGGTTGTCTCCGAGCTCTAGTTGCACCGTGCATGACAGGTTCGTATATGCGAGCTGTCGGCATCGGGCCGTTGCGCAGTCCGCATAGTAAGCTGCAGCCACTTCACCAACCCATTGTCCCAATTCCGTAAGCCACGTCAGAGGCAAGCGGCGTCTTCAACAGCGTCAACATTTCTGTTGTGACGGGTGTCAACTGATGCGAACGAAGTAGCATTGGCGTCGACTGAACGGTATGCGTCATGCCATGCGCCTGCAAAATACGTACAACCTCGGGATAATTGCGCATACGAGTCTCAATTCATTGCTCGAGACCACTGGACCATCTTGAGAGTACCCAGTAAGCGACTAGAGATGACACAAACTGTGTCGTTACCCATCTGACAACACGGATGGTTGCCCAGTCTTGGCGATGAACGGGAAGTGACTGTAGAGCCACGAGGATGAATTAAGTCGCTGCGTACCTGCTCGAGGCTTCACGAAGTTGCGGTCAACATCTCAAGCGACACGAAGGTTGTGGGCAAAGACACGGCCAATCACACTTGAACGCAGAGGGCTTCATCGCAGTATTCAGTATATCATGTGATAGTATGGTATAGGGGAGGGTTCGCCAACGGTCGCCGATGTCGCGATAGCAATATCTTCCATCTTGCGCATCACTACGAAGTGTACCCAGCAACTTGTTACGGGTAAAATTGCAGCACTACTGCAACTAATACACCACCACGGTATGCTGGGTCCTGAGCTAAGATCTCTGTCGCCGGGCGCACACTGAAGCTGACTGCCTGCTCCCGTCTTTGAGCGACTGGAACCGCTGCAGCGGCCAACGAGCCAACATGCAGAGTCGCATCGGAGGTTCCTGATTAAGCTGGCCGCTTTGAAGAGTAAGAAAAAGCATCACGAGCTAACTTCGAAACAGCAAAAGGGTCTGTCAAAGACAGTGACTGATGGGCATGCGCACTATGCCGATGACAAGTATGCGATAAGCCCTCTGGGTGCTTTCGGGGTATATATGGTATTGCGATTACCTTACAGAGTCTTCATCAGCTCCAGATCAGTGTCGCTCAGCTTCTTAACACTTCAATCCAAGAAGACTACCGTCTCCTTCTCAACTTCACCACTACCCCCCTCAAACCACCCAAGATGACTTCCGCTCACGGCATCCCTCCCCCTGAAGTCCGCATCCGCATCCTAAACGTCAAATCGCGCCGCGCCCTCTACAGCAACGAGCGCGACACCAACGCCCTCAACCACGTCGATAGCACGACAACCTACGACGACCAATACTGGTACATCCAGCCGGGCAAAGACAAGAACACGGGGCTCTACCTCATCGTAAGCGCCTACACGGGCCGCGCCCTCTGGGCCAACCACCGCAACGGCGCGAATGGCGCAAACGGCGAGGTAGGCACGTACAACCCGCCGGGCGAGTACCCAGACCACTATTTCGACCTTGCGCAGACTCAGGGTACCGGCGTGCGAAACAAGCAGTTCCGTCTGCACTCGCCAGCGGGGTCTGGCAATTTCTTCTCGCGGACGCACGAACGGCCTGAACTAGGTTGTCTGTCCGACACTAGCAAGATCTACGACGACCAGTGGTTCACGTTCGAGATGGAGCCTCTGAAATTCGTCAAGATCGAGTACGACCTCGAACATCCAGACATCATCACGCCGCCGACACCCCGGAACATCTCGACGCAAAAAGCGCTGAACCACAATGCGGACATTGAGACTAGTCAGGAGTTGACGATTAGCCAGGAGACAGAGCAGCAGTCGACGTTTACGTCGGAGGTGGGGCTTTCGGTCACGGCGTCGGCCGAGTTTAGTTGCGGGGTGCCGGTGATTGCGGAGGGCAAGGTGGGCATTAGTACGACGTTGGATACGAGATTGGGGTGGGGGACTACGAATATTACGAGGCAGAAGTGGGAGGCCAAGGTGACGCTCAAGTGCCCGCCCAAGTCGGCTACGCTTTGCACGGCTTCGGTAATGGAGACTAGACTTCGCATGCCGTTTGTGTCGTACTGGAAGACGGAGGAGGGGGGAAAGGAGGTGAGGCTCAAGGGGGTTTATGAGGGGCAGAGCTGTGCTAGTTTGAGCACTGTGTCTTCGCCTCTTCCGTATGAGCCTAGAAAGTGATATCCCACTATATGTTGATGGTAGACTAGGAATACTAGAGGAGTTAGTCATCAACAACACACTCATTTCGACATAGCGTTATGCATTTGCTCTCATATCCCACCCACGCACGTGCCCATGCCCATCTCCCCATCCCAGACCCATCTACAACTCATCCCTCACCTGCTCCTCCCCTTCACTCAAATCCGGCATAGCCATAATCTTAACAACCAAACTAGTCCACCCAGTGAAATGCTGCGTCCTCTGCCCCTTGCCAGTCTCAGGGTTGTATTGCTCCCAAGCAAAGCCCGTCTCCTTCCAGCTCTCGTACACAGTGTTGACTAAGTTCTTGCGGAGTTCAGTGTAGATCTTGGTTGCGCGAGCGCGGTGGGGGCCGGGTGTGGTTGCGACGTTCTAGAACCGCGCAATTAGTATACTTGCATCATGGGAAGGAAAAGGTTCGGGAGACTTACGAGTAGTTGGGAGACGGCGAGGTAGTTGATAGGCATCCAAACGGGACCGCGCCAGTAGTCTTCTGCTGTGTGGTAGAACTCGTCGCTCTTGCTTAGACTCCTGATGCCGTAAGGGCTCCAGAGCTCCTCTTCGTCCTCTATCAGGTCGAGTATAGCGCCTAGTCTATCGCTGTCCTTGTCGACCAAGCCCGTCAGGAAGGGGAATAGAGAGATGTAGCCCTTGTGGCAGACGAGCGAGTGCTCTTCGTAGTCGTCGATGGTGGCGTCGCAGTAGGTCTTGTCCTTCTTTGACCAGTGGAGGTCGTCGATGTTGCGAACAATCGCTTCGTCATAGCGTGCGAATTCGGCGGCGTCGTCTTGCTCGTCGAGGTAGATTGCGATGCGCTTGATTGCGCGGGTCATCATACCCATCCAGCTGATCAGATCAACGTGTAGCTCACCAGGGTGTGGTGGCTGAGCGCGAGGGTAGTCGTCAAGACCTGAAGTGAGGATGTGTGAAGGCGTACGTCCGCGCCACCTGTAGCCCTCTTTGGTGGAGAAGGCCTCTCGGTCGTAGCTCTTGATATCGCCAGCCTGGGTCTTGCGGTACCAGAAGTAGTTGCGCTTAAGGAGCGGGTACAGCGAGCGCAGGTATTCCAGGGCGGCTTCGCGGTTCGAGAGTTGCATCGAGTACGACTTCTGCTGTTGCAGTTTCTCGCTACTAGTGTCAGTCTTCATAGCATCGAGCTTGTCGAGGAAAGACGTGATGACCATGAAGAGTGTAGGCGGGTTGGCGTAGTGAGGGTATTGAATCTGGAACTCCTCCGGCACCTTGCTGCGAGCTTCAGGACCGAGGATCTGTTCGCGTCCGATCCAGCCATCGTCATCCATCAGCTTGAACCAGCTCTTAATTATGTCAAGGGTGAGGTCTGCGTCCCAGTCGATAACAGGTAGCAGATGGAAACCCTCATCCCAGAGGAAACCACGGGGAAAGAAAGGTCGCGACGGGATGGCAGTGAACAGCTCAGACGGCCCTTCGAGCTGAGCTGGGTTCCTGGCTCGCGCTTCAGCTGCCTCTTCCCAGAAGCCTTCGCTATCCTCTTCGTAGGCGGGGTCGTAGGATCGATCAACACGAGAGTCACCGAAGAAGTAGCCGATGCCGCCGATAAGGTTCGAGAAGAGCGATTTGCCAAACTCTTCATAGCGCTCCTTGACAAATGGCGTCTGGGGCTTGAAGATGTCGGTGAAGCGAGTCGAGAAGCTGGAGGTGACCGAATCGATCTGCTCGGTGAGATGCTCGGATGTGATCTTCTCGGGCGCCGATGCAGATGAGAAGATGATGTCGAACTCAAAGGGGCCCTCGAAGACCTTCTGGACCAGGTGCATGTTGCCCTTGCCCGGCAGATGCTGGATGGTGTAGACCTGCGCAGGCGGTGGGGGATTGTCCTCGCCGTACTTGGGGACCAGGACGTCGATTTGGCCTTTCATGTGCGCAAACATCATGGCCTTGACCTGCCATAGCGCATCCTCAGGCACCTGTCCGCTGTGTGCCAATGTCCGGTCCAGAGGCTTCTCGTCGTAGCTTGCATGTCCAGTGATGGGATGCTCGCCGGTGCCCTTGGTGACAGTGAGCTCGAACTCGCCCAGTTCCTTCGTCTGCCCCTTCAGGACCACGTCGCCCTCGATGCCAGGCTCTTCGGGGTCGGCACCTTCAATGCCCAAGTTGCCGAATCCAGCGAGCGTGTTGTACCAGACGACAGTCGTGCGTAGGTTTGGGCCAGCGTCTTCTCGTGGCGTGCCTTTGATCCTCGCGCCCCAGCTGCCGCCATGCTCTCCGCCAGGGAATTTGATGAACTCGGTGGTGATGTCAATCTTATTCGCAGGGTCGTGGATCGTTTGTCGGCCGCCGCTGCGCACATCGTATTCGTCCCAGCCGTAGCCATCGAGCTCGTGTTGCTCGCACGTGTGTCGGAAGTCTACACAGTCAGCAATGAGTTCGATTCAAGCATGGCATTGCAGACGTACTGTGCTGCACGCTTTGGTAGTCTTCAACGCGCGTCCACATCAGACCGCCCATCAAGCTCTTGGGAATGCGCGGCCGGACGCCAAAGTAGAGGTTGGGGCGGTAGGGTCCCCATAGCAAGCTCGCATTGGTGGCTTTCTCGATTTCGGCGACCTGCGCGCTCACGAGGGGCAATTGAAGGGCGAACAGGCACGTGAGCCCCTTCCAAAGGGTGCCATGCCGAGATTCGCGTGTCATGGTGTTGAGTGAAGCTGGAGCTGGAGCTTTGCGGGGGTTTGGGACACATTTCGCGGAGCACCCGCAACTTCCTCGGGCGTTCATTGGCCGAGGTGGGCCGTCGCCCAAATGTATTCGTCTGCTATCATGAATTAGCAAATGACACCAACTGTAGTATCAGTGCGCATATGAATCTATGTTTCAATGTGTCACCACGATGCGGTAAGAGGCGGACGGAATATTGATATCGTAGTTGTCTCAGTCTATCGAGCTCGAATGCCGCCAAATTCCCTGGACTGATGTACCTGTTACTCACAACCAGGTTTGATGCATTACAGATTCCTCTGCTTCGGTCAGACTCATAAGAAACCGCGCGAAGTACAAAGGGAGAAAAGGCACCATACCATAAGCCGCGTGATCATAGATGTAGACCCTTCCATGGCATCTCACAACTCAACCAGTCACCCAAGGCGGCATAAGTGCGTCCTGCTCTGCGAGGGAGTGGCCCAGGTGAATGACAGAGAGTGCCGCAGTCCCATTAGACACCGCCAATCAATGTGTAGAGCAAGCCGTGAATGCTCCATCTCGCAGCTTTTGACCGTGATCTCCAGCGCCCGAACAGCCTTCTCCAATTTTGTAACCGTGAAACCACCCCCTCAACTCCTACTAGGACTCAACGGCCTATTAAATCCACCCTGCCGATTCATATACTGCCTAGCCTGCAACTGCTTATCCTTCCTCACCCCAAAATTCTTATCATTCCCCGGCACCTTTGTGTTTTTCGTGCTTTTGAACCCGCCGAAACCCATGATCTTCAGCATCTCCCACTCCTCGTCGTCCATGTCTTCTGGCTTCTGGCGTTCGTCCTTCATCTCGACATCGGGTGTGTCTTCTTCTTCCTTCTTGATGTTGATGGGGTCGACGGTGGAGGACCGGGGACCGGTTGGAGCAGGTCGGGCACTGCGAGCAGGAGGCGCGTTATCGCTTCGTGGACCTTTGGGCGGTTGGGGCGAGCGGTCGCGAAAGTTTGGGCGCTCGTCTCTGCCACCTCCTCTCCTGTCGTCGCGGCCCCGTCCGCGGTCGTGACCTCGTCCTCGCCCTCTTCCTCCCCTGATTCCACCGTCGCGCTCGTCTTTGCGGAAAGGCGATCTCGAGCGGTACCGGTTGTCGCGTCGGGCGCCGCGCTCTTGCGGACTGCGTGAGCGGTTGCCGCGGCGCTCGGTGGGTGTGCCGCCTCGATCGCGACTTTCGCGGGGTGCGCGACGAGTGTCGCGCTCGAAGGGGTCGCTGTATGCTGCCCGTGGTCGCTCGTTGTCTGCCATGATGTAGAGTAGGGTGTGGGGGGCGTGGGTGAGGTTGGCGCAAAGGGAATAATTTGGTGAGCTGGGTGAGTTTGGGTGCCAAGGCTGCTGTCGAGGCCCTACCAAGGTGCAGTCGCCATGCGCGAATCGCAATAACGGCACAGGGAGGTCAAAGAGCTAGGCCAATTGACAGAGTACCACTTCACTTATGTCAAGCAAAGCGCAGTATCAATGAGTTTTGTCATGTTATTCGTCATGTACGACTGCTGCATCTTAAGGAGACGCAAAACCATCCGTCCGTGAGAACTTGTCCCACTCCAAGGCGAGAGCTTCCTCTCAGTCTGCTCATGTCACGTTGCCTGTACATCGCGCATCTCGTTCTCCCATCAATGATCGCCGTAACGCCGTCGCCCTACCAGACAGGGTATCTCAAAAGCTCAACTCAAACCTGCGACCAGCGCTCAAACCGATGACAATCCAAGCTTCCTCAGATCTCATCCTCCTCCTCGTCAAAGTCATCCTCAGAGCCCATGTCATACAGGATGCGACCGCCCTCGCCCGCACCCTCACCCTTCTGCGCATCAAAGTAAGGCAGCACAACCTCCTCACGAGCCTGCTTCTGCTTCTCCGTGAGTGCGAGGTTGAAAGTCGAGTTGGGGTTCTCAGCGGCATCTTGGATAAGTCCGGACACGTTGCCGGCGTATGCGGGCTGCATGTCGAGGAGGATGACGTACTCCTGCTTGAGGGTGCCGTTGGGGATGCCAGGCATGGGGTCGTGGTAGTCTTCCGGGCGAGGAGTGCGGAGGAAGTAGGTTTCACCCTCTGGCTTGCCGGACTTGCGGCGGAACTCCGCTTCCATGACTATACCGCGGTTGTCGTTGGCGTCGAGGTCTTGGATGATGCCTTCGGCGGCTTCCAGCATGCCCCAGGTGGGCTCGGGCAGGCTGCGCTCTGCGGCGGCTTTGGCGGCGAGGCAGTGCGCGAAGGACTTGCAGGTTATGATGGACGTGGCCATGTACTTGATCAGCTCCAGGGGTTGTGGGGCGTATGGTGACTCTGTGGGGTTGTCGAGCAGGTCTTGGTGGTAGATGCCGACGAGAGTGGAAGCGTACTTGTGGACGACGAGCTGGAACAGCGCGGTCATGTCGACGCCGTTAGTGTAGAGGAGCTCGTGGAGATTGTCGATGACGACGATGCTCTCCTTCGCATCGTCCATGGCCTTGCGCAACGCCTTCAAGATCTCGTCGCTCGTCATGCCGAAGCCTTGGACGGTGCGGATCGGTGCCATGGCCTGAGAAGACTCGAATGTGATGAAGACGACGTTGACGTTGCGAGAGAGGGCGCGGCGGGTGATCTCGCTAATAAAGATGTCGGCACGCTGGTTGAGGTCATCGAGGACGAGCGTGAAGGGTGATCCATTGGTGCGGACATTGAGGACCCTGCCCATGAGGTGGATGGAATGGCGTTGGTGCTGCATGAGGGTGAATGGCTTGTTGAAGGCGCGCGGAACAGGGAGTTCACGTCTACGCTTGCGACGGCCAGTGAAGTTGCGGTTGTCTTTCTTGATCCACTGCGCGGAGTCTCTAGCTCGGATCTTGACCGGTCGCGGAGCAGGCTCGTTGATGTCGAAGTCGTCAGCGAGCCAGCGCTCCTCTTCAATTTGTAGCTCTTCTTGGGCCTTCGCCAACCACTTTGCCAGATCAAATTGGACCGTGCCGTCCGAAGGCAGAGTGTAGGTGGTTTGATTGCTGTAGTCCGGAAACTGGTCAGTCCAGTGGTTGGTGAACTGATCTAGTAGCAGACTCATGGTGTAGGAGGTGAGGTCCTTGAATTTATGGAAAGATGTGCTTTTGGGGAATTGACTGAGAGTTGTGGAAATGGAGTGTAGCAGTTGAGTGTAGGTTGGAGAGAAAGATTTGAGACTGAAGGAGCTGAAGACTCTGCTTCATCTGTGCGGCAGGGGGCTGGGAGTAACGAGAAGAGTGTTAATCGAGGAGGCTGGTTTATGGCCAGCCGATGACGACTGCGTTGACATACCTGAAGTGAAGGTGAAAGGGCGGCTTGTTTGTGTGTGCAGGAGGTAGGTTGAGGTTGGATGTTAGAACAACAACGGAAAGGAGATCTCCAGTATCTCTACATATATCCTTTCAAGACTCTGCTTGCTCTTACTGCCAAATGCGCAATATCTCAAAGTCTTGGCAGAGTCGTGATGGTGTTTCTGCTCGTACAGTCATTTTCGACCACGCTAAGCCTCACCACTAGCGGCGTTGCGCCCTCCTTGCCCCACATACCCGGTCTCCACCGCGCATCCCATCGCCGCAGCATGAACACGCGCCCGCCAGTCAACATGAAGTACACACCATTCCTTCCGACCTCGACATGACAAGCAATGCGCCATTATCTGCGTCGTCGAAGCCGCCACGGCCAAAGTCCCCGCATTTCCCGCCCCACAATGCTCCGCGCGTTTGGTTCATCACAAGAGGCGCATCGCCTATTGCCATCGCGTTAGCGCGGCAAGTGCTGGAACATGGCGATTATGTTGTCGCGGGCGTTATGCCGCTGGAGTTTGAGAAAAGAGAAGGGCAGAGTGAGGATTTTCGGACGTTTCTGGAGGATGTGAAGCAAACGGACCGATGGCGCGAGCATTTGAGGGTCGTTGGGTTAGATAGTAGGTGAGTATCTGATACCGGTATTTATCGTGAGGTGTTGCGCATTGCTGACGGCTTTGTTTTGTAGGGTGGTCGGCCAATGTCAAGCAGCTGTTGCTGAGGCTGTGGAGGCGTTTGGGCGCATCGACGTGTTATTGTGTGCTGCGAGCGAAGGTTGCGATCCTGCCCTGCTTCCCCAGATGAAACTGACATGTCATTCATATAGCTGTGATCGGCTCCGTAGAGGAACTCGCGCAGACTAGCCGGACAAGAAGTCTGGTCGACGAGATCTTTGAGATCAACTTCTTCGCGAACGTCAACATCATCAAGGCCGTACTTCCGATCATGCGCGAACGGAAAAATGGTCACATCATCGTGATAACTGGTATTAGTGAGTCACCATCACCATTCGAAGATTTCCTTATCTGACCCTTCCCAGCTGGCCATCTGGGAACACCCGGTCTAGGCATGTACTGCTCTTCTCAATGGGCAGTCGAAGGCTACTGCGACGTACGAAAGCACTATCCCCGCCGTTGCTACCGCCCTAATTAACATTACCCAGAGCCTCGCCTACGAAATCGCCCCCTTCAACGTAAAAATGTCCCTAGTCCAAGCCAACATGGAAGTCAACGTCCTCACCAACCGGATAACCTCCGTCCCCCCAATGTCCGAATACCTCCAAGGCGAGAATCCCGCGCCCCTAGCCCGCGAAATCTTCTCCGGCCTCCTTGACAAGCTAGAAAGAATCGACAATCCCCCCGCCCATCCCCCTTTCGACGAGACCGCGACAAAATCGCCCGGAGACGAAAGCGTAATATCGGACACCAACCCGGATGCAGAACCGACTATGGGCGACCTGCTGAGTTCAGATACGGTGACGAGTCTGTATGCGCCGTTGCCGGTGGGGGTTAAGAGCAATTTGATTGCGGAGACGGTACATGCGCTTACGGCGATTGGGGGGCATGATAATCCTCCTGCAAGGCATATTGTGGGTACGGAGGGTGTGACGGCTGTGAAGGAGAAGTTGAAGACTACGAGTGAGGAGTTGGAGGACTTTATTGAGGTTAGTGGGGCGGTGGACATTGCGCAGAGGGATGGGGATGCGATGGTGGGGTTGGGCATGGATCATGGGATGATGTAAGGCTAGTTGTGATGGGGATGATGCGAGGCAGAAGTAGTGGCGGATATATGCTCTTTCATTAATCCGTGGTAATCTGTGGTATGAAACGAAACGACGAAAGAATAGATCTCAATGTGGCATAAAAATGCCAATGAAGGCTGCTGATGCGGTGGGTTGTTGTCGCAACGAGTCTGAGATCCGAAGACGCCACAGTGTATCTACATTACCTGCTGCACTACTGGGCAATGGCAAGCTTAGGAGCGATGGTAAGGAAGCCGACATGGAAAGGCCTATAGGCGGCAGCTGCCGAGGTCGCTCGAGCTGGGTGACGTCATCGACCTTGCACTTAGGCGCTTACACATTCGACACGCCCTTACTCGCCTTCACCCGACGCAGCGTCTGAGGCAATGTCTTCCATCCCATGTAGCCATGCTCACCTTTCTCAACTTCCATTCCGTCTATCAATCTGGCCCTTGCGTCCATGTACCACACCCGCCAAACTGCCGGTTCACACAGCAAGTCAGCACACGTCTTCACCAGCTTCGCACCCGGATTGCACTTACTGGTCCAGACTGCGATAGTCAAAGGAGTCGCGATGACTACACACGAGAGTCAGCGCATACCTTAAAAGGAGGCTGGAATGGTTCACATACCCCACATCAGCCAAAAATCTTGCGATACGGTGATGTGATGCGGCCACTCTTCCTGCAGTTTCATGAATTGGCTACCGAAGATGGATGCCACCGTACCCAGAGGCATGAAAAGAAGTGTCATGACCGCGATCGTCTTCATGCTTTGGTTCTCCGACTGCATTAACTTGCTATCACCTTGCGTGACAATGTTGAATGCCAACTCGATAATGTTCGATATCCGTGCATTCAGGCTTCCAAGCCGTCGTTGCGTCGATTCAAACAAGGTCTGTCTATACTTGAGCGCCTCTCGGGTTTGCCTTTGTAACGTGCACGGATTGGCGCCCATCACCACTATGTAGTGGCTGTAGAGATTGTCTAGTGTGGCCAGGGCTGCTTCACAGTTCTCGCGGAGGTATATGGCATGCTTCGCCAGGTTGTGAAGCCCAGTGAAGAGGTCCTTGGGCAGCTCTTCTGTCGCTTTGCCAACCCTACTGGCTATCCCTAAAGTTTGCTGACAGACTATTAGCACGACGTCGAATCGAATAAGAACCAGACTTACAGTTTCCAATGGCCCGAACGTATCTGACACAGCCCAGGTCGTCCAGTCGAGAATCTTGTACATCTCCTCGAAAACGAGTTCGAGCAGCATGTGCGGGTCGTCCAGCAATGCCTGGCACGGTGTCGTCTTCGTCAGTGCCCGGATCCGGTCTAGTAGTGTGCTAGGCGCGCCAAAACATATCAGCTCTACCCTGGCTTGAGTTGAAGTGGGTGCCAATGTCGTGTCGCTGTCAGAAGTTGAGGTCCGTACCGGCGTAGGCGGAGTATCTGACTGCTTCCGAATCTTCAGCACAATACCAGGCTTGATCCAAGAGAAGTTCGCCTGACTTTGAGCTGGCGCCGACTGTGAACATTTGGCTTGTTTGCTCTCCACCTCCGCAGGGCCGTTGTCCGGCACGATCTTGTTCTCGACCACTGCTAACGTTTTGCACAAGAGGTGGAACCAGATCCATGTTGTACCATCGGCGTCTTCGCGCGCTGCGAAGGATTGCGAAACCCCTCGCAGGCTCTCATCGACGAAGGCGCTTGGAATACTGCATGTCTCGAACAACTCAAGCAGTGATTCCGCGCCTGGTGTGGGTACGTCTCGTGGTGCAAAGCTATGATTATTAGCAACTCGGCTTCCCTCCGTAAGGATACTCACATCACTCGAACAACACCTTTGCTTTCCGCCTCAAGATCATGTGCGGACTTCAGGCCAAGCTCTTCTACACCTTCATCGGCGTCATCAAGCCATTCGCAAAGGTCCAGTGTCATATCAGCGTGTATCGCTTCTGGATGCTTCGCCGCAGCTGCCACAGCTCTCCTCCGGAACTCGTCAAAGGGCTGGCCATCAGCATTCAGTTGCCGAGACAAGGTTGTCTTCTTGATCGGTATCATTGCAGTCCAGATGCGACAGTAAAAGTACGAAAATTATGACTTGCACGAATTCCTCAACACAGTCCAGCACTTGCCGACACTACTTAGGCACTCAATCGATCACGGCAACACGAGGGCGTCTATCCGATTTCACTGCTCGTTTCTCAGCCCTCGTCAATCATGCGGGCAGAGCCAGCGCCACAGGTTTCGACGAAACGGTAGCCGTGCACCCTGTCAAGCGAAAATCTGCCTAGCATCGCTCTCATGGTGTGATACATGGAAACATGCGGCCACGGGCCAGCGGTTCTGCACTTGGCGTTGTTCAGCTTTGGTCGGAAGCGGTAAACGCAATTTCGAGAGCTGAAGGGAGTGTCCGAGCGAGCCTATCGGCATCGGCCGTCATCGCTACGCTATTGGTGGCGCAAGGCTGAGGATGCCAAGATGGCAGCTGGTAAACAGCCGAGCCCCTCGAAATGGTACTGTACGCGAGAATGCGAAAAGCGGTACCTGTCAAGTTCAATTTTACAGCACGTCGGTGTTCAAGTGCACCAAGGACAGTACGTCCCTCAGACCTCTGCGCCGGGCGAATGTCGCTGCTACACCTATCAGACGCACGCATGGCTTCGAAGGATACAACGACATTTCGCGAACGTCCGTCGTGGATGCTTAGGGTACCTACTTTCCTAAGAATCTAAACTTCAATGAAGTGCTCCATGTTATTCGCCGTTTGTATGGGGCTCGTCTACGAGGCGACAATCCCCGCGTACCGTACGCATGAACAATGCTTCAAGCCACAGCAGATGACCAGGGTACGCGAGTATGCAAAGTCCCCAAGGTCACCCACTGTGCTAACAAAGCCAAGACATAAACACCCAGTCCGATGACTGATGTCCACATGGAGTGTCACCACTGTGTGGTACTGGAGGCCGCATCAATAGGGCCTCGACCCTTTCTGGACATGTCTCCTGCATACAGGGTCCACCCCAAACGCCACTATATCGTGAAGTGGAAGTTAGAGGGTTCGCATTCAAGAGACTGGCCAATCCAGGAAAGGTAGAGGGTGAGCTGAAGTCAAGGATGAAGTCAAAAGCAACACCTCCAGAGATGCACGCCTTCAGGCAGGTGCTTTGCTTCCCATCGCATGACCGTATTCTATTCATGGGCCTGGTTCTGATAAGACTAGATGCGATCGCCGGCCTCAAGGTCTCCAAACACCAGGCTCAAGACTACCGTCCCTCAATTTCACAAGCCCATGTTGAATGGTACAAAGACCCTGCGGCCCCCGCGTTGATCGCCCTGATTCTCGCTAACCATCTCTAGGCTTATCCTCCAAATTTCTCTGGAAGACACGGAGGTGGGTACGATCCTAGCGGTGGCACGTTTGTACAAGTACCGTCGTATCAGCAATCTTATCCGGTAGGCCTTTGCTCCAGTCCCCATAATTTATGACACCCGCGTAACGGCGTTCCTCAGACGCAATCACATCACTGCGGTGGAGGTGGTTACGACCCGAACAATACTACCCTGAAGCCTGCAGCAGTTGTACAGCACCAGCCGGTATCATACCCACAGCCCACTCTTGCACCTCAAGTATGTTTCCGCTCTTCCCTTCTTTATGATTTTCTGACAGATGCACAGGCACCAGTTGGATATTATCATCAGCCCTATCAACAGTATCAACAGCCGCCGCCCCAGCATTCCAACCAGCAGTCAAGCTTCATAAATCGACTGTGTGCTTGCTTTGCCTAGCATTACTTACGTGATGGCGAAGATGATCGGCAACGACACTCAGGCTTCCGTCCGCGAAGTTGCACCATATGGACATCCACCTGCCTCCCAAGACGACCATGAGGCCAACCAGAGGCGTCTAGGACAGTCAGTAATAGAGGTATGTGGGCTGGAATTCCAAGTACTGGGATCTTCTAACGCCATCCAGCGCAACGGATTGATAGCACCCAAGGGATACGCACATATCTTCTCCCCGTGGACTACAATAAAGTGGGAGCGCCCCAACTTCTACCGCAAGCCTGGTCTTGCGTACCAGAAGCTTGGTCAGAACCGACATCGAGACATCTTTGATCGCGAATGGACTGGCGACTACGATGACCGTTACATCTCATCTTGGGACGGAAAGGTGTCCAAGCTTGTCGTTCAAGCTGTCGATGATATCTACGAGAATAATACAGGATCTACCTACAGGCGAACCTTCGTCCGCAATGTTGCGCCTGTCTACATGCGATTAGCGAACTGGCCGTTCAACCACATCGACTTCTCGCGCCATGGCGGTAACATCCCTAACGAAGACCTTCCTATGCTTTGTCTCAAGTGGTTCGTCGCATCCTGCTTCATCACGATCTTTGTGAGTCCATTACATCCGCATTTTGATCACCCAGCTGATGGCGTCTAGATTTCCAGCCCAAGCCCCGCTGAGATCGCGTCTCGCAACGGTGGAAGCTACGATGGCCTGCCATACCAGTACTTCGGATATCCCAAGGTCGCCAAGAACGCGATCGAGATGCACAGGCCCCAAGGTCATGCTTCCAGCCAAGCCAATCCTGTTGCCGAACGTGTGTTGCGTCCTCGATATCTCTGCTTCTTGCGAGAGGCAGGAAGGCCGGCCATCATCACCAAGGTCGACGATTGGTAGGTCAATGATGCCGTACCTCTAATTCATCTCTGACGTTTGCAGGCTGGCTCAACATGATGCTCACGATCTCTCGTACGTTTTCATCGCATATACAGCTGAGCAGTTCAACACTCCCGAGGATTTGGGGGTTTTACATCAAATGGCTGACGTAGCGGCGCGCAATGCCGGCGTTATTGCGTATTGGGTGGGGTGCTCTTGCATGCCCGACAACCAGCTCGAGGAAGATGTAAGCACATAACCCAGTCAACATGGTTGTAGCTTCGCTAACGACTCTCGGAGGTCTACCGAATATGCGACGTTATCCGAGGCGCGCAATCTCTCGCAATCGCTGTGTGCCCTCCAGTGAACAACCGCTATGAGATCAACACACCTGATCTCATGCTTCAGCAATGGGGCTACCGAGTGTGGACGTTCCCTGAAGTCCTCTTGGCGCCCGCTGGTAAAGACATCTGCGTCTACGTGCGCGACAGCGATCTGTCGCAGCCACTACAGGTGCCAAAGAACCAGTTCGCTGCCCGAGTCTGGCAGAATGATGCACACATCGCTCGTCAAGTAAGACGACCTCCGAAACTGACATTTACATAATAGCTAATCCCCGCAGCTCATCGACCATTACGAGGGAAACTTGATTCTCAGCCAGCTCGAGCTGGTCACGCTTGCTCTCGAATGCTTGCATAACCGCGATACCACCGAGCATCTTCCCGGAGATCACAGCTACGCATTGATGGGCTTGCTCCGTGTCAGGCCACAAATTGATCGCACGGACTCTGCTTTCCAGGCGTTCGCCCGGTATGTCTTGCATGAAATGCAGTCACTCATCGCATTGCTAACGCCTCGAAGACTGTCTCTTGCGAACGGCAGCGATCAGCTTCTCGAACGCTTGATCTGCATGCTGCCCAAACACCCAGACCAGCCTTGGCACTCCATGGACGATGCATATAATGCTAAGCTCTGGGACATACTGCCGCAGGATGTCGGCATTGCCGGTGTTGGAGAAGACGATAGCATCATTCTCGATGGTTGTCGTGCTGCAAACGTTCGGTGGAAGTCTTTCACACCTGTCGCTCACACTCGACGTGACTCCTGGAAGCGCTTCCTCGCGAAGGGCATGCTGCGTCTCAGCGGTGTCATTTTCATCGCTGCATGCGTGCTTGTCGCTTTCCCTGGCCCCACAAATACCATCGGCATTATCTTGCTACTATACTCCCTGGTGGTCATGGGCCTATCACCATGGCTTCTACGCCTTCTTTTCCTTGGCAAGTTCTGGGAACAGCAATGCTGGTTCTTCGGGTTCGAAGGGTACATGGACCTGGACACGATCGAGAGCCAGATCTTTGGTGGCAGGCTTGGGCGCATGAAGTGGACCGTATGTATGCTCTCGTCCTGTTAATGACGTCGTTCTAATCTTGTCGTCGCAATTCATAGGCAGCAGCTAGTCCCTTGTCGAGGCATCATCGCAATGTTCACGGCGAATGCGTTCCCGTTGATCCGACTTCCGATCCTGCTGTCGCAGCTCTCGTACAACGAGCGAAGACTGCTGGCCCAGGGGAGCAACGCGTCTTTACTCTCGTCGACACCGGCAACATGACTGCAACGCTCTTTCTCGCCGAGCGTCCACCCGTGTGCTTCCTCATGGCTGGCTCTGAAGGCGGTATGAAGCGCATCATCGGCTGTTCTTACGATTGGACTACCGCGACGATGTACAGAGAGACTGTTTTACGGATGGGGACCCAGTTCGAAGACAAGATGCAGCGTGTTGGTCGCGTGAAGATTGGCTTCAAGCGGAAGCAGCATCCTTTTGGACCATTCGATCAGGTTGGTGAGGCGGTAGGGAAGGAGATGCAGTGAAGCCCGCTTTTCTTATATCTTTTGTCTTTTGCGTCAGGCTACATTCGGCCATAATAGGAGTGATCGATGGCGGATCAGGTACTTTGGAGTCTTCGCGATATCCTTTTCTGCTCCAAGTGACCCAAGAATTTCATTGTCACCTTCATGGCCTTGCATCATTTAAAGATATTGTAAAATTCAATGCTATGTCGACGTCTCAAGCGTACTTGGGCCCTAGGTATAGTCTTGATCCGTGCGGCGAAGCACTCTGCTGGTGGTATCGATTAGACTCCTTCTCTAATGCAGTTAGCTCGACCCACACTTTCGCTACTAAAGAATACTCACCCCTCACTACTCCAAGTGTCGACGGAACTTCAGACTACTTGTCAGTGTTAGACTGAGCCAATAGATGTACATCAGGGTCCGTGGATAACCATCCGATTCGACTCGAAGTCCTCGCGAGAATGCATTGGCTATTCTTTCTTCTGTCGACAGCCTCTATGGCTAGTACATCATACGCAGCACCTTTCAATGGCCCGACTCCAGGTCTCTATGAGAACACAACAGTGATAGCCGACGCGGAAGTCAACGTGCCTTCCACCAAGTACGTTTGGTCTGGTCTGGGCGACTCATGGGCGGTAAGTACCTGAATTCGCGGTCGCATCGATCGTCGGAGACATTCGCTGAACCCTGGATAGAGCGGCGTCTCATACGGCTTCTTCGGATCTACCGACTACGACGGAAACATGGACCACTGCCTACGCATCAACCACGCCTACGCCCCACAAATGAGCCACGATAACTCCTGGATCCCCGAGGGCCGTGAACAAGAGTTCCACTTCCAGTCCTGCTCAGGCACTCGCTGGCGACAGATCGACGCCCAAGCCGCATCTGGGCCATATCCAGCTGAACGACGTCCCTGACAACGTCGACATGATCGTGTTGCAGGCCGGCGGTAACAATGCGAAGCAACATTGCGAACTTCGCTCGCGTCGCATATGCGTGCATATTCGCGCCGCAAGGAGCAGATTACGGTCCCGAATACCCCGATCCAAACGGTCAATGTGCTAAGGAACTCGAGGCTACGAAGCAGTACATTCTCGGTACAGGCCGCGACCAGCTTTTCCAAGACGCGCGGTGGATCGTCAATCAAGTCTTCGATCACCCCAAGGTGAAGAAGAACCCCAAGTTCCGGCTGTTCGTAGTTGGCTACTTCCAATTCTTCTTCGACGAGGGTGGCGAGGGCGACTGGTGCAGCAATGTGAGCTTCGGTCTGCGGTCTAGTGATCGTCCGAGGCTTAGTCTTGCTTTGCGGAAGCGCATTAGTGCGCTTATTCGCTATTTGAACAAGGCAATCGAGGACGGAGTCAAAGGAAGCTTCCACGCGGAGCGGGCGATCTTTGTCAATACTGACCAGAATCCTGAAGGTTACCGATTCTGCCAACCTGGTCACACTCTGTACGACCAATACTTCGGGGACAATGTGTATCTTTGGAACATGTCTCCTAGCGGTATCTTTAATTGGCAGGGCAAGATGGTGGGAAGTGTAGACGATGGCGATGGTAACGCAGAGGAAGGACGTCAGCCGACACAAGCTAAATTCGAGCACTGGCTCGGAACCGTTAGATTTACCGACGACCCTCGCGAGTACCACCTGAGATGCATCTACGATCTTGGTTACGGCAATCTGTCAGCGGCTGCAGATTCATCGGATGCAGCCTTACCAGCGAATGCACCTTCACCGGCACAAGAGTCACTGTCAGCGCATGCATCCCTACTGACAAACATTTCTCCGCCAACAGACACACTCCTACCAGCAGCCACGACCTTCCAGGTGGACGCAGCGCTGCCATCCAACAATCACGCGCCCGCCCTGACCACCGAAGCGCTGACGGCGACTATCACGATGATCACAACGACCATCATTATGACCTTTACAACGATGGAAGCACTATCGGAGACGCCCAAGATGATCGGAGGATAGATGACCACAGGGCATCGCTAGGAGGACACAGGCTGGGCTGAGGAGGAGGCGAGAAGGACAAGGTTTGGAAGGAACTGCTAGGAGGAGTATGGACATTTACTGAAGTCGGTCGTACAGGACCTTTTGCATCTCAGGGAGTCACGTGGCGTATTGTCATCCATGGTTATGATTTCATAACTGCCCACTCGTTGATGAATGCTGAGCAACACATGGATAGCATACACATACACACAATATTCTTAGCTGAGTTCTCCATTCTGCCAGTCGCTGTGCGCTTGAGCTGCCTTCCCCCATGCCAGCTCGCTTGTCATTACCCGTACCGCGACATCCTAATCGCCCTAAGCGACAGCAGTAACCTCCGTGGGAACAATGCTAAAGTTCACAGCCGGACCCAATCCAGTATGCTTAACGGTGTCATTGCCCGTGTACGTGTACGTCACTTCACCCCTACCACATGTCAGCTCCCTTGATTCTATTAACAAACCCTGTTCTATACTCACTGCATAAACGTGTACTGCACACTAACAGTCGCACCGACATCGATCCCGCGATTGAACTCTTGCGTCTGCACATCGCCCGGTACATCAATGCCAACTACACTGCAAGACTTATAGCCACCCTGGAGACTGGTGCCAGAGCAGAACTCTGCATCGAAGGCTGGTTGGTCGGAAGGACCGGCGGGTGCGGAGACGTTGAAGGAGTAGCGGCATGCTGATGCGGTGCAGACACTGCTGAAGTCGGTGACGTCCCAGGTCCAGTCTGCGCTTCGGGGAAGGGTTGCTGCGGACGCACTGATGGCGAGGAGGATGAGGGCAGTGATCTTGGAGAGCATCTTGAGTATGTGGTATGGCTTAGCCGGATGGGTGTATGAGAAGCTTGTTGGCGTTGTTGATGTTGATTTCTTCTTCAAAGAGACGACAAGGAGGCTTTATAGCTCTGCTCACCGTATATGGGGCCATCGTTGCGACACTATAGTTTATGTCGGTCCCGTGATGAAGCACCCGATGCTACGTTGCATAGCCACGGTGCTTCGAGGTATCTGAGGCAACGAATTCGGGTCGAGATCGGTTTCCGTGGTTCATGACGCCACTCGTATGCGCAAGGCTCCGCTGCAAGGGCACGCAAGTCATCGCTGTACCACAGCTACGGCGTTGCGGCATCAATTCTAACGATTGCCGCTTTGGGAGGGTTGATGGTTGTTCCACAGTGCTTACTGATGGTGACAAGCGTGGCAGCGGGTGCCAAGAAAGGAAACATGCAAGGATAGCTCAACTCCAAATTCCCAGTGACGCGTCCGTGGTTCGTATTCAGTCGCCGGAGAGTGCATCAGCATAGCCGACGGTGATGAGTTTGTTCTCGTATCCAGTATTGGCACCTCGCACCGCACCTCATGCAGGCACAGTCAACGTCTCGCCCATGGTACCCCTCTTCTTGCTCACTGGCGATCCCGTATAAACATGGCTATCGGTAACAGATCTCATCATGCCAGGACGTCGTTGTGTACTAGGCAAGTCGAATGGACTGGCATGGCCATGTGTGGATCCAGGTATAACAAATCTAGGTCTACTACCAGGTGTGGCAACTGGGTCCGCGGGTATCTCAAGAGGCGGAGGTTCCGCAAGCGGGTCGGAGAGAAAGAGCGCCAGGAGCTTTTCGACGATGTCTCGCATTCGGTCAGGCGTGGCATGTAGCGGCTTCTCGGACATGTGCTTTCTCTGCAGTATCGTCAGCGAGCGTCTCGGATGTAGGTTCACGCGTCTTACCAGTGCCAGTTGTGCACCCTTGAAGGTTTGGTGGTATATCAGCTTGTACTCGTCGTCTTTCGCCGCCTCTTCAGCGGCTGCTTCTTCACTGCGCTGCTGACTCTCTTCGGCACCAGCCACAGAGGCGCGGCGAGACCTGTTCTGTTTCCGCTGCTGCAAGCCATGCATGCGCATCGCTGCCATGACCACTTTGACCAGTGCGTCCTTGTTTCGCGACTCTGTTGTTGGCTCTTCAGGTTGTATGGGTACCGTAGCGACCTGTGACAGGTTCGATCGCCTGGCATGCGCGTCGGTTTGACCCTTTCGGCTGAGAGGCCTTGTATCGGAGGACATGCTCGGTGATCGCGAGAGTGGGCGCGAGGAAGGGCGGGCTAGATGGTCGGAAGCAGACGTTGGTCTGGAGTCGGAGAAAGACGAGGCTTTCAGATCGATAGAGAGCGACGACTTTCGGTGGCTGTATGCCTGCTGAGACTCGCTCACGCGGGCTGCTGCTGCTGCCGACACTGCTCTTCCACCTCTCCCTCGTGCCTTCTTGTTTGCAATGGTAGCTTCTTCGAATATATCTCGGGTGCGTCTGGGTGACGTCGGAGGCACATGAAAATCGTGCTGCGGCGGCAGGAATTGAGGCTCGGCATCTGTGGGCAAGTCGATGCTAGTAGCATGCAGAAGATCGGACGAAAGCGGCAGTGCGTGAATTCGAAGCTCGGGGAGTAACTCGGCGTGCGCATTGTCGACGTATGAGGACGAGGATGGTAGTGTGGGTAGCCCAGCTGTGGTAGGAGCGGCGATGGTGCCATAGAAGAGGATCTCAGTCACTCTAGGTTTTCGAGCTTCTCCCCCAGCCAACTGGACTTGTACAAGAAAACCGATTGGCGACTGTGATCGCGCAAGGTCCCACCATTCCTTCGCGGCAGTGTTGGGCGCGTCCGCCAACGTAGGCTTACTCAGCAGGACTGCCTCAAACCAAGCCTGAGTAGCTTCCTCTGTCGTCCATACGTCTAGACTGGGGCCGGCGGCAAGGTATAGTGGTATCTTGGCGGTATCGACCGTGGTGAGGAAGCGCAGAGCCGTCGCGGGGAGGGCTGGAGAAGACGTGACATTTTGCGACGCGAGGCCGACGTCTGTGGGGGGTTAACTACTGTATATTTCCGATGATAGATGATACGTACCTTTGATAACATTGCCGTCTGGTAGCAGAATATTTCCGCTCCAGATATCCGTCATTGCGGATGTTCATGCAAGTGTTCGGGTCAGGTAACGCGGGATGCAAGGCAATGACGCGCCCCTCGCGTTAGCCACGCGCGAGGGCACGTGCAAGATGCCAAAACCCACTCTCGTCATGACAACTCTTCTCCATCGCAGGTCGCATTCATTGTATATTTACAAAGGTCATAGAATGCTCTGACGTTTCCACATGCCATATCGACAGCATCCCATATCCCGACCGCGCCCCATATTTCAACATCATGCGGCGAGATGCCACCACAGTCACTTCCACCGCTCCATCCACTCACCCCACCACGCCCATCATAGCACACCCCAGCACCACCATAACAATCGCATACCCCCAATGATTCCACTCTCCCATGCCCGCCTCCTTCCCAACCACCCACCCATCTACGCCCCCGCAAGCACCTGCAGCCACAAGCACCAACCCCGCGCTGCGTCTCGTTCCATACCATGTCGTCGCAAAGATAGCAACGGCTACGAACACGTCTTTGGCGCCGTAGAGAACCATGACGCGCTCCATCATGACCCATTCAGAGGATGTGGTGGGGCTGTTGGTGAAGCCGTAAAGGGAGTAGCCTGTGCCGGGAAAGAACATGTAGGTCAGTCCGAAGGCGAGAAATGTTGCGCTGAAGAAGGTGGAGAGATAGCGGAGGGATGGGTGGTGGGAGAGTGGTGTCATGTTGGGTAGCTTAGTGGATTCGGAGGGTGTGTCGAGGCGGCTCACACGGGAAGAAAGGTAAGAGTGAGTACTGTTCGCGTGCGATCAGAGGGACTGCGACTCTTGATTCCACGTTCTAGTACAGTACATGCTGCTTTCTATATTCGCATCTTGTCTAAAGCGCCGAAACTAAACAACGCGGTTCTCGGGTTCCGAGCGGACCGCATCCCGTAAGCCACAAAACTTGTGCTTCCAACGGCGCCCTTCGATCACGTCTTGTGACATGTTGGAAACTAGTGGAAGGGCGCTGTTCGTTCGCGCATCGCTATCTTGCATGTCTTTCACTCAGCGTTATCTCATTCTCATGGCATCCCTCTAACATTCCTCTCCCATTCCACTCCAACCTCTTCTTCCCTTTCCCCTTCCACCTCCTTCCTCTTCCGCTTCCCAACCTCCCATACCTCTTCCTTCATATGTTCCGACAAACAATCCATCAACTTCATCATCCAATCAGGCTCATCTTCGTGCTCTTCGAAGAGTGCCCACCAATTCTTGATCACGCCCTCCCTGAGCAGACTCTCTAGTTCATCATTTCGTTAGCAAAAGCCGGCTACTTGCTTATTCTAGCTACTCGCTATACACCTACGTTATACTAAAAAGATATTCTAAGTAGCTATAATTATTTGCAAGCGTATATAAATTAATACACTAAATAATCTTACAACAATTAATTTTGTTAGTAGCTGTACAGCCTTATTTCCTCGATTATCTAGTGTTTAGCGGGTAGCTCGGAACGCGAACTAGCCCGTCACGCGAACGCCCACTGAAGCCGAAGTAACCGGAACCGTCGGATTATCGATCGCTACTGTAAATAAGCTGTATAGCGATGTTTGCGATGTTGCTAGAGTTAGCAAGGCTACTCGCAAGCCAGTTTCTAGAGTATGCTATCATAACTACCACGTCAGTCTGTATTTCGTGTTTCTCGAGGTGCATGTCCGCGGGATCGACCGTCTCCTCTAGGCGCGGAGGTATCGTCAAAACGCGGACGGAACACGTTGGTGTATCCAATCACGACAACATGCTAAGATGTCTACCTCCGAAGGTATCTCAGCAAGTCGCTCCCACTCCAGCAAACACTAATTGCCAGGATTGACAAGGCCCGGACCGTAACGTCACCATGCTAGTGCGCCCACTTGCACATTGGCCCACCTTCGTTACGTCCGTATCATGGAGCGATTTCCCCACAAGTACTGCTTGGCACACTGACGTTCAAGCCAAAACACTAGTCCCATGTCCTTTTTTTACGTCCGTAATTCGAAGCTTCCGACCAACCGGACCAATTTCTTCAC